TGGGCCCCTCGGGGCTCCCCGCTGCTCCCGGGGTCCCTCCTGGGGATGAGGGGGGGAGTGGGGCCAGGGGACCCCTCCTGCATGGCTGGCAGGGCTCAGCGCTGTGTTGTGTGCTTGGCTCTGTGCAGGGAGCCTGAAGGACTCGGGACATCTGGGGGTCCCCTCTGGCTGCTGCCCCGTGCCCCCAGGAGGACCAGGGGCTCCTGGGTGAGCCGGGACCCCCCCCCAGTGCCATTTCAAGGGCGGTTTGCAGATCTTGCATCTGCCGCTGCAGAAGGGCTCCCCATGCCCTCTGCCACCCCGGTGCTGGGGATTTCGGGGCTCCCTCCTTCCCGGGGTCTAGCCGGGACTCAGCACCGAGCATGTGGGGTGCCCGGCTGCACCCTGGCGAGGCGAGCGCCTGCGGGGAGCCCGTCCCCCCGTCTCTCCCTTCCCTCTCCCCTCCCGGCACGCTGAAGGTTTTGAAAGTTAAGTATTACCGTCTGCTTTGTTGTTGCCTAACTACGACAGACAAATTGAGAACTAGTTGTCAAAATGTCAGTGCACAACAAATCAACATTCAAAATGAGTCTCAGCACTATGTGGTGTATAATTAAAAAAAAATCCTTTTTAGAAATTTCAGCAAGCGTTGGCTCCGCTTTATATTTGTCTGTGTGATTAATAAAGGCAGCTAATTTTCAGACTTTAAAAACAGCTAGAAAATAGCTCCTAATTACATATTAGGTTCCAAGCGGCCCCCGCTGAGCGAGGCTGGTATTGGTGGGCCAGAGAATTTGGCAGGGGCTTAATTACATTCTGAGCATCATCTAATTTTAGTTAAATGTAATGTAATCAGCAGCAGATGTCTGAAATAAAATATGAATTATGAATATGATGAAATTTCATTCTTGAATAAAAAAGTAATTTGCTATTTAGTTCATTAAAGTCGCAGAGGTTTATTAGGGAGCAGGTATACGGTGCGGCTGGGTTGTATTAAAATGATATTTCAGAGAGAGTAGGAAATTGCATTAAAGGTGCTAAAATATTCTGCCGGGACGATGCGCCGGTTGGGAATTAACATTTACAAAAATAACGGAGCCTCTGGGCTGCCGCCAGCCCCCAGCGCCGGCAGTTGGCTCCGGAGCGTCTCATTTATGCAAGGTGACGTCCCGCATCCCGGGGTGGCCCCGGGGACCTGCTCCCGCCATCCTGCCCCAGGCATCCCAGGGCGCACCCGGGCTCGCCACGCTGATGAGCTCAGCCGTTTCCCCCGTTATTTGGGGGGGACAAGAGCCCCCGGCCGCGTCCCCAGTGCAGGCGTCCCCGTGCCACGTGGGTGTGGGGCCATCGAGCTGGTCTCCGCATGCCTTTTTCCAGCTTGGCCAGGAGAGCG